GCGGCTGCACCCTCCGCGGCCCTCGACGCCTCATTTTTTCCCAGCGTCGGCCCCCAGGGGTCCGGAACTTGTCCTTGGACCGGATCTTCGTCCTGAGTCGTTTTTTGACGGCCCCAGGGCCCGGCGAGGGCCCTTGAAACCCGAAAATATTATAAAACCTCTCGTCGTAATTGTTTCCATGGCGCGAGAGGGTCGGGAAGCGGCCGAACGCCTCGAAGCAGACCGCGCCAAGGGCCCCCGGTAGGCACAAACGACAGACGACTTTTTCGCGGAACCTTTTTTTTACTCTGGCGAAGCGACACCACTCTCACGAAGGGTACCCAAATGGGCGACGTTCCAAGACGATTGGCGTTGCCGGCACGCAGACGAGAACATGGGCGCACCAACTGCGGGAAAAAACGGGAAGAGAGAGACAAAACAAAGAACTGCATGCGCGCGCAAGCGCGCGAGAAACGTTGCATGCACAAGTGGGAACGACCACGTGGAGCAGAACTACCGCGCACAAGATTCAGGGGTGGAAGAATCGGACGAGGAGGGGAGGAGGAGGAGGAAGAGGACGCGAAAGCTCTGGACAAAACCTGGCAGACGGGCAAAAATCCGCGGCATCGGCGCGACTATCAGCCAGAGTGGCAGCGGCAGAAAGATTAACATCATAAGGAGCAAGACGAGTAGGAGTAGAAGTAGGACTCGGATCCGCAAGACAATTCGCCGACCCTCGCTTGCCTAGGGTGAAAGGGGTGTGAGATACTTGGCTGTCCCGTCCCCCCCCCCTCCTCCCCACCAGTGCAACAAACGCAAAGACCGTGCACCAGCAACGTGGTACCACAGCCGCCCGACCAGGTAACGGGCAGCTCTAAAGGCAGCCATGCGCCTGGCAACTTCGGCGTCGACCATTATCTACAGAACACGACAACACAAAACATCGAAAACAGTACCCCAATTTGGGGTCGGCGGCAGAGGCGGCAGCCTTTAGATACTACTACTACTACTACTACTACTACTACTACTACTACTACTACTACTACTACTACTACTACTACTACTACTACAACTACTACTGCTACTGCTACTGCTACTGCTACTGCTACTGCTACTACTACTACTACTACTACTACTACTACTACTACTACTACAACTACTACTGCTACTGCTACTGCTACTGCTACTGCTACTACTACTACTACTACTACTACTACTACTACTACTGCTACTACTACTACTACTACTACACTACTACTCACTACTACAACTACGACTACTACTGCTGACTGCTACTGCTACTGCTACTGCTACTGCTACTACTATACTACTACTACTACTACTATACTACTACTACTACTACTACTACTACTACTACTACTACTACTACTAACTACTACTACTACTACTACTACTACTACTACTACTACTACTACTACTACTACTACTACTACTACTACTACTACTACCACTACCACTACCACTACCACTACCACTACCACTACCACTACCACTACCACTACCACTAGTACTACTACTACTAATACTATTAATAGCAAGAGCAAGTGACAGCGCGAACGTGGGGAGGAGGGAGAAAATAGGAGAGGGGTGGGTTGAGGGAACAGAGAGAAGGCAGCAGACAGAAGACGAGGGAGGGGACAGGAGCGGGGAATGGAATAGGCATGAGAAAGCAGGAAAGGGGAGGATGAGTGAAGGAGGGCGGGGAGAGAAGGGACCGAAAACACGGGCCGAGGGGTGGGCGAAGTGGGAGGGCAGAGCCGAGAACGGAGACAGGAGGGAGGGCTGCGGAAGAAGAAGCAAGCAGAAGCAAGCAGAAGCAGGAGGAGGAGGAGGAGGAGGAGGAGGAGGAAGGACAGCAGCAGCAGGAGGATCAGTGGGAGCAGGAGGGTCGTACCGACGCCGACGACGGCGGCGGTGCAAACGCCAGAGGCCTCGAGAAGTCCTCCGAGGTCAACTCTGGAGCTCTCTGGAGGTCCCCGCAAGCCTCTATGGAGGCCCCGAAGTGAGCCGAAGCCGTCCAAGCATGCGCTCGAAGACACCCGGCCAGCGACGCCGACACCCAGCAGCAGCAGCAGCAGCAGCAGCAGCAGCAGCAGCAGCAACAACAGCAGCAGGGGGGGCATCGGCAGGAGTCGGGCACGGCGAAGGGCTGGGTCAAGAGGGGTGAGCTCGACGGCTGCTGGGGCGCCTCAGATCGGGCTGGGGAGGCTCACGTCGGGTTGGGGGGGCCTCAGGTCTAGCGGAAACAGCCTCGTCCGACGAGCCCTCCTGGCAGCCTCCAAAGCAGCAGGAGGACCAAGGTCGAGGAGCTGGCTACCACGCAAGATGGGCCCTGCGCAAGGTTGGCCTTCAGCGCGCGGCTCCAGGCGACCCCTGGGAGGGGGGCCAGGTCCTTCGCGCAGGCGATGAAGGGGAACAGTTGGGGGGGGGGGGGAAGCGACTCAGGGGGGAAGCATCGACCTGGGATCGGCGATACGTCGCCGATGGATCGGCGTCAGGCCCGGACAGCGAATTCGCGCGCGCATGCACTCCGGCGACGGCAGGGCGGCCCGACGGCGACGAAGACGCCAACGCTGGCGGCGTTGTCGTCGTCGTCGTCGTCGTCGTCGTCGTCGTCGTCGTCGTCGATCGTTCGTCACCCACGACGGCGTGGCGGCGACAGTGCCGACGACGCTGGAGGCGAAGGGGCCCAGCAGACGACGTGATTTTTGTCACAACACTGCCCCCCAAAAGTCTGGACCCCCTCCCCAGGACCGCCTTTCCACACCGAGCCGCTTCACTGGACGCCCGAAATAGGCACGGAAAGCATGGGCACGATGCTCAACAGCAAGTGTTGTCCAACACCGAGAGCGGCTGCCGTTGGGCAGGTGGCGTTCTCTCAGACGGTTCATGTCCGCGGAGACACCGACAGCGAGCCCTGTTCAAAATGCGTCGGAGATGCTGTCGATGTCACGCAGAAAGCATCTATACACCACCACCGTGCCAGGCCAGGGCCATTCTGGGCCCTAGCATGGCCCTGGCCAGGCACGGTGGTGGTGTATAGATGCCTTCGTCGGTCTTCGCACCCATTCTTCACGTGCCCGTTTAGATCGTGCAGGGTTTCTGGACGGCCCTGGGGCCTGGCGAGGGCCCCTCTGGAGGCCGAAGGCGGGACGGCTCGGCGACCCCGCGGCGACGAGGACCCAGGCAGCCGCCGATGTGATCTCGTCAGTCCGCATCCCCGAGTCCCGACCGCTTCCTTGGGGGGTACAGCCAACCCGTATCCGAAAGCAGTGAAGAAGCACCCAGGCTGGAAAGAAAAGCTGCCGCTTCCTCGGGGGCACAGCCAACCCGTATCCGAAAGCTGCGGGGAGGCACTCAGACTGAACGAAAAGCCTGTCGTCGGAGATCTGGCCGATCCTGTCGGGCCGGGCGAAAGGGGGGGCACAGCAAAGGGGGGGGGTTGAAAATCAGCTCGCGTAGCTGATTTGCCCAGTGCCTCCCGGCACTGGAGGCGGCTATGTATGGAGGAATGGGCCCCTCGGTGGGGCCGAAACTGGCTGCATACAGCAGATTTTGTAACCCCCCCTTTCCCAATCCCCCCTTTCGTCCAGCCCAATCCTGGCAACCCCGCACCCGAGCATGCCGCCGTCTCTTGGGGGCGCATCTTCTACCTCCGCCGGCCTCCGCCGGCGAAGGCGCCCTCGTTCTACCTCCGCCGCCTTCCGCCGAGGGCGAGGCGTCAACTCGCAGGCGGCTTTTCTCCCCCAGTCTCCGTCTCCTCGACGAAAAAGGAATCCGCCCAGACAAGGAGGAAAACCCTGGGATACACCCCAGGGGGGCTAATCATTCGGACCGTACCCCTCTCAAGGATGGACGTCCCCCGCCCCCTCGCCCCCTTGTCCTCGTATATCCCAGGGCTGGGCCCGAAATTTCTGGCCAATTCGAAAACCCCACGAAGCCTGGGCCTGGGATAAAGCCTGGGATACAGTGCGGGCGCGACCGAAGGAAACCCTCGCAAGAAACCCAACCCTGAAAACCCGCGCGCGAGGTGCACCTGAGGGAAAACCCGGAGCACCCTGAACGCAACAGCTTCTTCCACGGCTGCGGGAAGTCACCGCGCAGCGCGCGGAGCGACGAAACCCGGCATACCCGACGAAAAGCAGATGGTTTCTTGATGCGCGCCCCCACTGTATCCCCGGCTATCACAAAGGCCTCCTGGATGGGGTCCGAGCAGATGGGGTCGAAGGATCACGCCGCAACGCAAATGTATCGCCGATGTATCGGCGATGCATCGGCGAAGCATCAGCAACGCCGGCGACGCATCCGCGACGACGGCGTGGGGGGCATCGGGCTCCGCATCGAGCCGCATCGTCGATGCATCGGCGATGCGGCGCGATCCTCCGACCCCATCTATTCAGAGGTCGGGCGTGTCCTCCTACAGGCGGAATATTTACGAAAACCAAAAAGGAGTCAAAAACATGCAAGCATCGTCAACAATAGTTAAAAAAAAAATGCCCTGACGATGTTATACTATGTTTGAGTAACTATTCCTCCTGTAGAGGGACAGGCCCGACCTAAATCTACTCGGACCCCATCAAGGAGGCCCAGACATTACCACCCGCCCGACGCCGAGCTTCCCGCGCCGCGCCCCCGCGGTGCGCGGCGGGCCTCCTGGCCCTTGCGCGCCTCTCGCTTCTCTCCTCTCTCCTCTCCTCCGCTCTCCTCTCTCCTCTCCTCCGCTCTCCTCCTCCTCCTCCTCCTCCTCCTCCTCTTCTTCCTCTTCTTCCTCCTCTTCCTCCTCCTCTTCATTCTCTTCCCCTCCTTCTCCTCCTCCTGCTCCTCCTTTTCCTCCTCCTCCTCCTCCTCCTCCTCGTCCTCGTCCTCGTCCTCGTCCTCGTCCTCGTCCCTCGTCCCTCCTCCTCCTCCTCCTCCTCCTCCTCCTCCTCTTCCCTTCGATCCTCAAAGGCGAGGGCCTCTCTGGAACGCCCCGCGTGCCGCCGGAGGGCAGGCGGCGGCGCCTTGCACTGCGGCGCCTCCCGCGCCAAGGCGCACAACCGCAAGGGCGGACGCCCGCCGGCCGAGCAGAGGAGGGCGGCTGGCCTTCCGGTGCTGGGGCGGTGGAGGCTTCGTCCTCCTCCTCGTCCTCCTCCTCCTCGTCCCACTCATCGTCGTCCCTCCCGCTCCTCCTCATCCTCCTCGTCCTCCTGCTCCTCCTCCTCCTCCTGCTGCTCCTCCTCATCCAGCACCTTCTCTAGAGGAGGGCTCCGCAGAGTCGGTCTATGGAATAGCGAACAGAAAACCCACCTTCATAGGAATCACCCCGACACGCGAAACCGTGCAGTACACGCACCCCAAATGGGGAATCGAACAGGGCAGAGCCGTGTAGTAAACGCCCAGGCCGTTCAGTAAGCACCAATTGTCGGGTCGGCCGATGGAATAGCGAGCAGAAAGTCCACCCTCATAAAAAAAAGTCGGCCCGTATCATAAGGATGCGCGATAAGGATGCAAGGGCCTTGGAAGGCCATGTCGAGGCTGTTCGAGCGAGGCGCGGCCAACGAAAGTGGCCAAGCATGCACCGAGGAGGCAAGGATGCAAAGGTACCCTTGGGACGGTTGCCCGTCCTTACTATGCGGGTTGACTGTAATCACTCCGACACGCGAAACCGTTCAGCAAACGCACCCAGAGATGGAATCGAACAGGGCAGGGCTGGTTCGTGAACGCCCAGGGCCATTAAGCAAACGCTAGTTATCGGGTCCTGGTGACTTCCCTCCCGTGATGGAAGGCAATCATGTTGGAAATGCCAGCCAAAGTGCCTCCATTTGGTAGAAGAGCTCTGCACGGATAGTTCGGCCAACATCTTCGTGCGGCCGAATGAAAGGAATAGCTAGATATGTAGAGTCGCTGTCCGTGCGCAGGCGGCACTGAGGAGGAGCATCACCGCCGCCGTCGACGCCGCCGCGGCCGCCGCCGCCACCTGCGTGGCCCCCAACGGCCGAAGAGGCCCCCGACATCGGCCCAAGAGGCCCCAGGTGGGCCCCGGCACGACCCGACGGGGCCCGAAGCCCCAGGAGGGCCCCGGCACGACCCAACGGGGCCCCAAGACGGCCCAAGAGGCCTCTGAGACGGTCCAGGAGGGCCCACAAGAGGGGGAGCATGCACTGGTACTTCGAGCCGCCGCCAGCGCCACCGCCGCTGTGGGCGGAGGCCGCCGCTGTTGGGCTTCGCCGCCGTCGGTTTTCGCCGCCGCTGGCTCTCGCCGAGGCCGTGGCCGCCGCAGCCGTGGTCGCCGTGGGCGTCGTCGTCTGCGTCGGCGTCGGCATCGGCGTCGTCGGCGCGCAAGCGGCAGGAGATCCGAGGCCGAGTTCGCGCGGCCGATTCTAGCCCCTGACTGCGCACGAAGTTCCCACTTCATTGGTCCCTACAAGAATTTGCTTTCATTGCGGGATAGAAGATCACCGTCTGAGAATCCTCCGTCGTGCCAGAACACCTTTCCTGGAACTTCGACGCCGAAGATCAGCGTGACTGTTGCGTCCTGACAACCTAGATCGTGCCAGAACACCATTCTGAGACTTCAACCATACGAATTATTTTAACAACTGCAAGCTGTTAAGACGAATGTGCGCGGCGCTAAGACGAGAGCCATATTGTACAAAAAACGACCTCTCTCCCTGAAGCTGTTGCACACTTCTATGACGAAATAATGCGGCGCTGAGGCGAGAACCACATTGTGAAAACGGCTCGCCCTCCATTCTTGAAACCATTGCGAACGTTTGAAATGAATGAGCGCGGCGCTGAAGCACGAACCGCTTATTCAAAAGGACCTGTCCCCCATCAGTGAAGCGCCCGCAAACTTCAACAATGAATGTGCGCGGCGCTGAACCGAGAACCGCATTTTGAAAAGGAGCCGCCCTCCATCCGTGAAACTGTCTCGAACTTGTAAGACGAATGTGTGCGGAGCTGAGGCGACAGCCACGTTTTGAAAAGGCCCGCCCTCCATCCTTTAAGCTGCTGCAAACTTTTAACACGAATGTGCGAAACGCTAAGGCGAGAGATGCATGTTGGAAACGACAACCGTCCATCCGCAACAATGTTGAACATGTTGAACTTCAGAAACACAAATTGTACGGAAGTCTCAATCGAAACACCCGGCCCGCCCTAGCGACACGCCTGGGAGTGCGACAGCGAGGAGTTAGTTATAGGGAGAAGAGATGGAAGGGCGAACAATAGAGAGGTAGGAGAAGAAGGTGGAGGAGGAGCAGGAGCAGGAGCAGGAGCAGGAGGAGGAGGAGGAGGAGGTGACGAGGAGGAGGTGGAGGTGGCGAGGAGGAGGAGGAGGACGAGGAGGTGGCGAGGAGAACGAGGAGGAGGAGGAGGACGAAGGAGGAGGCGATGATGACTCGAGGAGGGCCCGAGGCAGGGTCGCAGAGGCGAGGGAGGAGGCGAGGAGAGGGCGAGGGAGGCAGGCAGGCCCTGCGAGGAGGGTCCTCCAGCGTCCGTCCTCCCTCCTCGTCGTCCTCGCACGTCTCTCCCTCTCCCCCCCCCCCCCCTCCTCGTCCTCCCCTCCACCGCTCCCCTCTCCTGCCCCCTCCTCCGCCCCCCGATCCTCCGACCCTCCTCCTCCTGCTTCTCCACCGCTCCCACCACTCCTCATCCAACGTCCCTGTCCTCCTCCTCCCCCCCCTCCTCCAACCCCCCTCGCCCCCCCCCCGTCACCACCCCGTCCTCCAAGATATCCGCCGCAGTGCCGTATGCTCGGGGTGGGGTGTCCTCGAGTCCCTTCGATCTCCCTGGGTGGAGGATTGCTTAAACTGTTTCCAGGGCCCCATACTCTGGATTCTGGGGGCGCTCCTGGCCTGGCGCCTCTCGGGCTTCTCGGGTGTTGCTGGTCTTTTCGGGATGCCTCGGGAGCGTGGTTGGGGATTCAACATGCCAACGCGCTCTAGGATGGTCCCATGGGGGCTGCCCAGGAGCCCACTCGGGAGCCTTTTGGGGCCCTGGGCGCTTTCCCGAGAGGCTAGGATCGACGATATATCCCAGTCTCGTATGTATTGGACTCGATGCCTTGGCGAGCAGGGCTTTTAAGCTAAACCAAGAAGCCCCCAAGAGAGGCCCAAGAGGGAGAACCCGAACTGAGATGTCGAACCCTTTCCCCCAGATGACCCCCGAGACCGCCAGCGGGCCATCAAGAGGCCCCCAAGAGAGCTCCAGATGCCCCGAATGTGAACACAAGAGGCGCCCCCAGAGGTCTCCAAGAAGCCCCTTGACCACGACTTAAACACGGTGGCGGGATGCCTTCGGGGTTTGGGGTTTCTCGTCGCTGCCGTCTCACTCCCGCTATTCGCGCCTCAGTTATAAGCATGCGCATCGAACCTCAGTCGCGTAGACCCAACCGAGGAGGATATGGAGGGAGGGAACGAAGAGGAGGAGCAGGAGGAAGAGAAAGGGAACGAGGATGAGAAGGAGGGAATCGAGAAGGAGGAGCAAGAGGAGGATGAGGAGGAGGAGGACCAGTGTACACCCGAGGCTCATCAAAGATGTTGCAATCAACACTCCCGCCAAATTTCCTCTCCATGGCTTCATACAAGTTGTGTTTACACTGCAGGAAATGCCACATAGGAAGATGTTGGAAAAAACCATCGGAAAACCCCCAACGGTACCAAAACATCATTCCTGGGACTTCAATGCCGCGAATCAACTTCCTGTGTGCCTTCCTGGCGATCCTGAATCGTCCCAGAACACCGCTCCTGGGACTTCAACACCGCACATCAATGTGACTGTCGCGCCCTGACAATCCCACACCGTGCCAAAACACCATTTCTGGGACGTCAGCCGAAAGGGTCCTTGAAGCTGTTGTAAACTGTCAAGCATGCGCGCGGCGCTAATGCGAAAACCACAGTTTGAAAAACAGCTGCCCTCCATCCGTGAAGCCCTTGCAAACGTTAAAATGAATGTGCGCGGCGCTAAACGGAGAACCATATTTTGAATATCACCCGCCACTCCATCAGTGAAGCCCTGGCAAACTTTTAAAGCGAACACGCGGGGCGCTATTGCGAGAATTATATGTTGTAAACGGCCCGCGCTCCATCCGTAAAACTGTTGCAAACTTGTACGAGGAATGTGCGCGGCGCTGAAAAGAGAGCCACAGTTTGAAAACGACCCGCCGTCCATCTGCGAAGCAATTGCACATGCTACGCTTCAAGACCCTACATGGTGAAGAGGTCGCGAGCGAAACGCCCGGCCCGCCCTACCGACACGTCTCGGGGTGCCGCAAGGAGAGGTCACGTACAAGGAAAACGGATGAAGAGGAGGAGGAGGAGGAGGTAAAAGCTCCTCTTCCTCCTCCTCCTCCTTCTCCTCCTCCTCCCCCAATCATCCTCCATCCCCGCACTTCCCCCTACTCCCTCCCTCTCTGCCCCCCTCCCCACCCCTCCCTCGCCCCTCCCCTTCACCCCACCTTCTCCTCTTTTCTTTTTTATTCTCCTCTCTCCTTCCCCCTTCCTTCCACCTCCCCCCGCCCTTCCTCCCCCCCCTCCCCCCACCCCCCCCCCCCCCCCCCCCCCCCCCCCACCTCTCTCACCCCCCCTCCCCCTCCTCCTCCTCTCCCTTCCTCCTCCTCCTCCTCTCCTTTTACCTCACTCTCCTCCTCCTCTTCCTCCCTCTCCTCTCTCCCACCTCCTCCTCCTCCTCCCTCCCCTGGGACCCCCCCCCCCTCCCTGCTCACTCCCCCCTCCCCTGCCCCCCCTCCCTGCTGCCCCCCCGCGGCGGCGCTGCCCCGCGGGCTGCCCGCCACCGCCGCCACCCGGGAGCAGCAATACAGCGTGCAACTGCCGGGGCCGCCCGTCGCAGCCGTCGCCGCCAGGGCCGTCGGGACCGCTCGCCGTCGTCGTGGCTCCTCCACGAGGGGGAGGAGGAGGAGGAGGAGGGGGAGGAGGACGAGGAGGAGGAGGAGGAGGAGGAGGAACGTTTCAGGAACGTTTCACAAGAAAGACAGCGTGAGTCTAGCGGAAGGCGGCGAAGCCGATGAATTGGCAAACAGAAGCTGCACTATGGTTTCTGCATGCCTGAATTCCGAAGGAATCTCTGTGACTCCGCCTCCCGCACCGCTTGCGGGGGACCAGACGGGTGCGGGTACTTACCCGCGCGAATATTAGCAATAATATGTTTGCCTTTGGCCGACGGCTCGCACTTCTTAGCGAGTTGGCGGGGGTCGGTGGTGCACGTCTTGCCGCAAATCGTACAAAACACAAGATCAAGCTTGGCCCACCTCTGGAGCGTGTGAATCGGATGCAGGTTTTTTCCCGAGACACGCTGGGGACCCCGAAGAAGCGAAAACTCGGGGAGGACCTTCTCACAGCAACGGGCGAGGCACATCTGGAATATCGAATCCTGATTCGAAAACAGGCCGCATCTACGGCAATGAAATTTAGCACCAGCTCGACCCCAAGAATGCTCCGAATCTTTCAGGGCACGCGCCAACTTCGGAAGTGGGCCCCCCCTCCCTCTCGGGACGCTCCGAGGTCCACGGGTCTGCATGGATGGAGGCGGCCAGGGCTCTCCGCGCACGGCGGCGGATCAGGGCCGCCTCGGCGTCCCGCTCGTCCGTGAGGGGGGGGGGCTGAACCACGAATTCACACCAGGCCAACTCGGCAGTTTCGCTCGCAATGGCATCTGCACACTCGTTACCGAAAACATGAAACCGCGAGGCCACAGGGAGCGCGGCCACCTCATCTTGGTGGGAGGGGACCCAGAGAAACTCGATGCTCCCACAACCCCGCGCACGAATCGCACCCTGGATCCTGGCCCAGAGGTCGAGATTCTGGCCGCTACGAGGCTGCTCGGGGGACGCGTACCCTCTGGCCCAAACGTCCAGGAAAAGCCTATGATCGGTGACGAGCCTGAAGTTCCCGACGGTGGCCTCCAGGGCCTCCGCGAACGCCGTTATCTCCGCGCGAGGCACAGTCTGTCTTCGCCCAGCGATCGAACAGCCTAAACCCCAAACAGGTTTCCATCCGATCCCGTCTGGGGCGATACCTACGAGACCCAAGCCGACCCTCCGACGCCGAGAGTCGTCAGATAACCTCCCACCCGACCCGTCCCCAAACAAGGTAACGAAACCTTCGGCGCCCTTGGGGGCGTCATCCAGGGTGCCAAAACTAACTCTGATAGGAAGCTTCTCCTCGAAGGTCGGGGCCGTTTCAGCCCGACCTGGGACCCCTCGCAACCAAAAGCTCGGGCAACTCTCGCGGCTCGTGTTGTCCCGCATGGCCAGGGGATGTGACAATTCAGAATCTCTGTGGCCGACATTGGCCTCACAAACACACTCGGTGAACAAAAGAAGCGTTTCAACCTCCTTCTTACATCTTTGACATTCAGCAGAGACCTGGCATCCAGCCGCGCGGAGGCGCTCACGAGGCCACTGGCCGCCCGCGACGACCACCGCGTTGAGCGCCCAGCTGTCGCCCTCGCCCTCCTCGTCGGGGCTCAGCCTGCGGAACTCACGGCAGACCTGGTACATGTCCGCGCCGTCGGCAAGGTCGTCCGCTGACTCGTGCATAGCAACCGTGCGCCACAGTTGCCTGTCCACTGCGGCTTCAATATCGTCCAGAATGCCGGCGAAACCTCCGTGAAACAACTCATAACTCGGATCGGCAACGGACGGGCTCTTCCAGGTAAAGTGCTGACCAGAATCCCACTCCATCGGAGAAACAGGGCCCCGTCCGATGTCAAGGAGACTCCAAATCGTTGCTGCGATCGGCCCCCGCACCTCTCCAACGACGGGAGCCCGCGAGGCGGAGACGACAACGGATGCGCCCCCACGATTTCGCAATCCCCACATGACAACCGGGGCACTCCCGCCAAAGCTTGAACAACCACATCAGGATCTGCTCGCGCCGAATGGTCTTGGCGGGGCCCTTCCTGTCGCATATCGCAGCCAATGAAGTCGTCAGACATCTGCCATGGCCCGCACCCGTAGCACGCTGAGACGCCTGTCGCCGTGCCCGAACCAACCCGTACGTAAGAACTCCAAACGTCTGGTGGGGGTGCATGCCCTGCGGCTTTGAACCCGTGCTCCACAGGCCCTTGGTGATGCACAGCAGTCGAGCATGACGTCTCATTCTCTTAATAGCCACGGTGCGCCTCTTAGCCTTCTGGATTCGTTCTCTCGCCTTCGGTCTCGTGCGTGATCTGCCCGACGTCGCATCGGCTCCGAGATCCACAGCCTGTCTCACAGCTGCGGCGGATACTCCTGCACTCTGGAGACCCTTGGCGATGCGGGACGAGAGCTTCGAGGGCGATGCCACCGCCACCGCCTTGAGGCTGGCCTCGGGCCCTGCGCTGGCGAAGTCCTGGGCGAGGGCCGCGCCTGATTCGATCGTGAGGTCGCCCACCCGCTGCCCCGCCCCTTCGATCCTGACCACGGTGTCATCGACGAACGTGCGGAGAAGGAGCTGGATCCCGTATCTCGCATTGGCTCGCGCCAGTATAGGCCCCATGAACGCCTTCGCAAAGCGCCCACTCTGTAAGGATCCTGCTACCAAGCTCTTCTCTGGATGCATGGCCTTGCTGAGCCACAGCCTGTCCTTCAGGTGCCTCGGCGCCAGGAACAGCTGCAGCTCCAATGCCAATGTGATCGCGGGGAACCCCTGCTGGAGCCCAGCAGCGCACATCTTCAATCGAAATGCTGCCGTAGAATTTCTCCAAGTCAAGTAGGAGGGTCGCCGACGCTATCTTCATCTCCTGGCAGGTCTCGTCCATCGTGGACCGTGTCAAGGCCGCCTGGAGGGCGGGTGAACCCCTGATGGCGGCGCCCCAATGCTCGTCGGCCTTGATGGTCCATCGGAGGGAGGCTGGACTCCGCATCTTGCTCCACAGCTTGACAAGGAAAGGCAACCATCCCAATGTGCGGTCGCCCCCCCCTCGGCTTTGGGGCGACCGCGGCGAGCGCCGTGAAAACCTGTTCGGGCCACGTGCCCGAAAACTCGATGTTCTGCAATAGCGCCAACAACTGCGCCCGAGCTGGAGATGGGAGCCGCTGCGCCTCGATCAGGCCGGGCCCATGGCATCGACCCATTTCGCCTTCTTCCCATTCACGCCAGACAGGGCCTTGTCCAGCATCTCGGGTGTCAGCTGCGGTGGGTCTTGAGCCTCAGCACGACGACGGACGCGCACAAGCCCAGCAGTGATCCTGTCAGGGGTCATCGATTCATCTTTCCAAATGCGGGCCCAATCGTCAGCCCGCTTGTCCATCATCTCATCAGGAGTCGAAAGCACGCGACAATCAGCAATCACCTCGTCAGGCTTGTCGATGGAACCCTTGGCGCGTCTGTGGTGTGCCCCAGTGGATTCCTTCCACATCTTCGCAGCCCAAACCTGGAATCCCTTTCGGGCTCTGGCCATCGCCATTCCGATGGCGCGACACTTGTAGTTCTCCGCTCTGTCCACGATGGTCTCCAACTCGTCCTCGGGGGCTTCCTCAATCTGCCGGATCGCCGCAATCCAATGTACGAAGTCCTCGTCCTCGGCGAAGGGCTGCCGCAACTCAGAGTCTAGGCCGACATCGATCAGCTCGCGGATCTTCGCCAACACTAGGGCGGTATCTCCAGCTCGAGCCGAACGTCGGAGAACCACCAACCTGGACAATAGGGATGTGCAGATGTTCCACCATTCAAGGTGGGGATCTCTCCTGTGCGGCCTCGAGGGCGTCGCGCGCGTCTGCTTCCATTCAATTAGAATATCCTTTGGCGCGGCCCCGGCACTTCTGGCCCGCATCCCCATGTACTGCATGGCGCATGAGCGTAGCCTCCTCGACCCCTTGAACCCAGCGGCCGCGCTCAGCGGCAATCTGGTCTCGAAGGAAGGGGTCGCGCCAAAGGATAATTCTAAGTGAATGGAAAGCGAGCGCGCCTCGCCCTCGAAGGCCGAACAGGAAGACGTCGCCCCACTTGAATGGTGGAACATTCTGACATCTATTGTCCAGGTTGGTGGTTTCCGACGTTCGGCTCGAGTGAGATACACTGCAACTCAGAGTCTGACGCGCACCGCTCTCGATCAGCTCGCGGATCTTCGCCAACACTAGGGCGGTATCTCCAGCTCGAGCCGAACGTCGGAGAACCACCAACCTGGACAATAGGGATGTGCAGATGTTCCACCATTCAAGGTGGGGATCTCTCCTGTGCGGCCTCGAGGGCGTCGCGCGCGTCTGCTTCCATTCAATTAGAATATCCTTTGGCGCGGCCCCGGCACTTCTGGCCCGCATCCCCATGTACTGCATGGCGCATGAGCGTAGCCTCCTCGACCCCTTGAACCCAGCGGCCGCGCTCAGCGGCAATCTGGTCTCGAAGGAAGGGGTCGCGGTCCAGGAGGGGGCGGGGCCGCCCAGCTGGGACGCGCGCGCGCGGCTTCTCACAGGCCAAGTCCCGGGTCGAAGGGGGAATCGCGAAAGAGACAGCAGGGTCAGAGTCAGCCGGGCGGGCTTGGGCATTCAGCTCCTCAAACGCTTCCTGCAGGTGCTCCCCCAAGGCTCTCTTGCGCCTCTCACGCGCCTGGGGTGACGCTTTCTCTCTGGCTTTGTGTCTGGAGCCTTCGTGGGCCTCTGCAACGCGGGAAGCTCACGAGCGGCAACGAGGCTGCGATGCCACCTAGAGAGCTTCCCTGCTTTGAGAGTGACAGTCAAACCAACGCGCGTACGCCACGGTACCTCTGGGGCGATCTCGACTCTGAGACTGCTGCTGATGCCGATCTGGGCGATAGCGCAATCGATGAGGGTGCCCGCGCCTCTGTTGCACGTGACCACCCAATTGGTAGGTGAGCATAACTGGCCCCC